GCGTGCATCTCAATCCTGGCCAGGGGTGCTGATCGACGATTGTTGACGGGAGCTATAGCCCAGACCACACCCATCCACTCCATTCGCAGGCTTCGCTTAGCAATCTCACTGAGTCCACCACCTCGCATTCGCAACGCCAGACCACATTGCTCCTGTCGTCAGGAGCCACTGCTTGCAGGAGGGTCCCGAGCCTTGACTTGACAGAGATGGAGGCGCTCACCTTCAACATGTCTCACGGCTATGCCGAAGGCATCGCACGAGGCTATCGCAACTCTCTCCTCTCCAGCTCCGTCTTTGCCTCGCTTGCACAGTGCGAGACTCTGGACGACCTCAGAATGCAACTTTCGACCACGGATTATGGCAATTTTTTGGCCGATGTGCCTGGTCAGCTCACTACGAGCATCATGGCTGAGAGGGCGACCAACAAGATGGTGGCAGAATTCGAATACCTGCGAGGCAACGCGAGCGGAGATCTGGCTAAATTCCTAGATTACTTGACGTGAGCTTTCAATTCTCGACTCTCGCCCTGAAAGTGTCCCGCTTACCCTCCAATCCTGCGCAATCACGTCAGGTACGCGTACATGATCGACAACCTTATCCTTCTCATCACCGGTACTTTGCATGAGAGGGACACACACGAGCTGCTTGAGCGATGTCATCCACTGGGCTACTTCGAGAGCATGCCGGCGCTCTGCGTAGCCGGAACGGTAGAGGAGCTTTACAACGCTGCTATTGTGGAAACACCTTTGGGTGAGTGTCGTCGTGTGCAGCATGACCAATGGCAGAGCACTGACATGCGTCCTCATCCTGCACCAGCTCCCTACTTCCGCAACTGCCTCTCAGCCGCTGACTTGGACGACTTGAATATCGAGATCATCCGGAACACGCTCTATAAGGCTTATCTGGAAGATTTCTACCAATTCTGTGAAGGCCTGGGGTAAGTTTGGCCTGGCCTTGCGAGGCCCTTGAAATTTAAAGCTGATGCCTGGCTGTATGAACTGTAGGGGTCAGACTGCCGAGTCCATGACCACGCTTCTCTCTTTTGAAGCAGACCGTAGAGTGCTTAACATCACTTTGAACTCCTTTGGCACCTCGCTCTCAAAGGAAGAGCGAGCTCGACTTTTCCCGTCTGTTGGACGTCTCTATCCCGCGGGCAACAACATCCTCGCTCGCGCAGACGATGTGGAACAAGTCAAAGGAGTATGTGAAATGGTGCCAGAATACAGGAGCTTTCTGGACGGTCCAGGCGCCGGAGGAGAGGCCAATGCTGAGGGGCTTGAGGACAGGATGTTCAAGGAGGAGACGAGATGTGAGCAGAAAGCGTTACGATGGTGATGATCTCCTTGTCGGACCGCGCTGACACCAACGCCGCCTCAAAAGTGAACCGCATTGAGACCATCTGCCAATTTCAGTTCGGAATCTTCTACAGCTGGCTCAAACTCAAGGAGCATGAAATCAGGAGCATCACTTGGATTGCGGAATGCATTGCGCAGGGTGTGCGAGGTGAGCAGACGTTTCGGCAGTACCCCGCATTTATCGAGCACTAAAGTATCTCTTCATCTCTCCAAACGTCAGACCGAATTGGTGACTTCGTGCAGATTTAGTTGTGTCTCTTACTATGATCAGCCTTGTCCTACACATTAGTCAATAGGCATTGGTTTTGTGCACGTACAGCCTGTGATGGTGACAGGGAATCACAGCTTCATCCTGACGATGGTCGGTGGGGCTACCCAGTCAGCACGTATCCATTGGCCATGTGGTCCAACGCTGTTCACTTACCCTGACGATTTTTCACAGTCCCAAGCGTGCAACCCAGCCACGAGAATAACACGAGAATAATTCAGTGGAGCTCCAGACGCGGAGGGCGGCGCTGCTGTCGTCGTGCGACTCACCTTTCCATATCGTAGCAATACCAAAGCTGAGGTCCTCCCAAGCGCCGTTGACGCTCTCGTCTCCATCCCAGCTCCTCTGCTCGGGATAGGCAGGGAGTCCCCACCTTTCCGCTTGAGGGCTTCCAGGAAGGTGGAAGCCTGCTTGTGCTACCATGCGAGCGAAATCGGGCTGGGTCGGAAAGCGCTCGATGGACTCCACCAAGTACTGGTAGGACGCGCGATCAGAGGCCAAGACTGCACCGAGCGACGGCAAGACGGCGTGAGAGTAGGCGCGATACAGGCTAATGCAAGAAGTCGAGGAGTGCAAATGTCAGCTTTGCAGACTTGGGTGCATACACGCCACGTGCTTCACTACTCACTCGCTTAGACCCGGCACATTAACCTTTCCGAACTCCAAACAGGCGAACACGCCTCCGGGCTTCAAGACCCTGTGGGCCTCCTTCAGTACCTTGTCGATATGCGTGCAGTTCCTGATGCCGAATGCAATCGTGTACAGATCCACGCTCTCGTCCTCGATCTGCAGGTGCTCCAGTGGCGGTAACTTGGGCTTGTTAGGGGATGCAGCGAAAGCGGACAAAGGAGATTTGGGTGGCGGACTGTCGAGGTGAAGTCGGAGATCCTCCGCGTTCCCAAGAGCAAAGCGCAGCTGATCGGTGTTCCAGTACATTGTCTTCGCTAGCCTCCTTTGCCCTGCTCGGAGCATGCTGGGATTGATATCGAGCAGGGTAACTTGTGTTTGTCTGTCCGAGTGTTTCTCTCTAGCATGGTCCAATAACCTCAACCCGATATCTCCCGTGCCGCCAGCGACGTCCAGGCACTTGATTCCGCCTCGAGGGTTCAGATCTGCCACGAAGTGATCCTTCCACAGCCTGTGCACGCCGACTGACATGGCATCGTTCATGACATCGTAAGAAGATGCTACGCTGCTAAAGACTCCCCTAACCAAATCCACTTTGGAAGACAATGGCACATCCTGGTAGCCAAAATGCGTCGTTCCTTCCCCACCAGCAGAAGCCCTAGAATCTGGGAAAGCAGACGATGATCCGTTTGAAGATGGGGAGGTTGAAGGATTGTGCTCGCCAGGTGTAGAGCTGGAAGTCGAACTCTGGTCCCGGGTGCAGGAGGCGCGGAAAGCCCTTCGAGCTGCCAGACCCGATGTCAGCGACCTCTCACACAAATCTAGAGTTTGTCTTCGCAGCATTGATGCAGCGTCGCGGGACAGAGAAATGCTGGCTACAGTCAAAGAGTATCGTTGCTGCAGAATAGAAGTACAAGAAGATAGCGAACACTGATCGCAACGCCGTCACCCCGCAGGGTTGACGTTCTGTGCGGTCGTCGAGATGTACCAGCACCAAGTTTTGCATCCGCGCATGAAGATTCAATTCAAGTTCACGATTCAATTTGAATTCAATTATGATTGGTCATTCGTGCTACCACAGGTCACGTGGCTTTCGACGGTGGTCTGTGCATGGCACGGCGATTCGTTTGGCGTGTACGCAGTCGTGAGTCTTGAGTCGTGAGTAGCAGGCTAAAGCTGCAGCCAGCAACGACGCCAGCGCGCGAAGGCTTGAAGTCAATTTCGACCGCACGACTCGAGCAGCGTCGCCGCGTCGCAAGCGTTGACAGCGCAAAGTTAGTTGTCGCTGGGCACGCCGACATATATGTGTTGGCCAGCCATGCAAGATGCGGCCCGGCCAGCAGAGGACCGACTTGATTTGGAACATTTCAACACTCTTGACGAAGCGTTACATCACGAACTCAGTATATGCAGCTTCGCTGGTCGTGGATAAACGTTCTCATGTCCTGGAACGGCACAACCTCAGACTCAAAACATAACTCAAATACCGTCAGGCCAAATACACGACTCAGAGAGCATCCAACCTACTCTGACAGTCGTCAGAACCTTCAGCGGCTCGCGTCTCGCCCTGCAGCCGACGGGCGGGCGGGATGACGCCAAAGGAGCGGAGCGGCTACCGCGATGCAAGGGGGCGAAAGCCGATGGCAAGCTGCTGATGCACACCGTGCTGTTCGAATTTGTGAGCAGTCACGAGTCGATAAGTCTAAGATTTCAAATTCCCATAATTCAAGCTTTTGAATGTGTCGTGCTGCCAGCCTAATGAAGGATTAAGGTGCATTCGTGATTCACTTAACTGAAACGCCGTCACATGCCGCGCCTTTTGCGCTTGGTGATGCGGGCGCGCGATGCGTGTGGGCTCGAGCCTTCTGCTGTCCAGCCGCCTTCGCATTCACGATGGGATGGGGGAGCACGATGCAGAATTGATGACTGACCAGAGTCCTTCTTGATCGATCATCGCTTGTTGACCTGAGAATGACCAACTTACACAACTCCATCTCTCACCGAATTCGTGACAATTACTCGTACAAGGCTTCCTCATCACCGTCATTCAACACTGGAGTGCTCGTGGCGATAGAAAGGACAGAAAACTTGTTCTACAGGAGCTTATTCCGCCTTGCCTCTTGGAAGCACGCTTGATGGCTTACTCGAAGAGCTTCTTTACCCTGAACCTCCCCTGAAACGCACCTACAGTGAACATTTCAGCATCCGACGTGGATAAGATTCCGTACGCGAAAGCGCCATAGCTCGGAGCACGACAATTCAGCGCGCGAACTTGGTTGGAGTGCAAACAGCACTGCCACTGCTCTCACCAAGCTCATCGAAGGGCCCAACCTTTTGCACCATGGCTCATCAACCAGGGAAGAGGGAGATATTGGAGGCAGCGCTCGGCCAGATCACCAACAAGCCAGCGCCTCCAGAGATTGACTTCACGATCCACACGACAGACGATGGGACTCAAGTGTCGACAGTGGAGAGGGTGATCAAGGATGTTCAAGCGCCTGCCATGCTCCCGCCCACGGACGAACAGTTCTACTCTGCACAAGACCCTTCCAAGCCTGATATCGCTTTTCTGAAGAATCACTTTTACAGAGAAGGTAGACTCAAGGAAGAACAGGCTTTGTTTATCATTCGGAGAGCCACAGAGATCCTCAGGCAGGAGCCTAACCTGCTCGAAGTCGATGCACCCATCACGGGTGAGTTAGCCCTCTCCTGAACGCTTTTCTCTTGGCGAATGCGGCCCGCGTGACTTCACGCTTGCGTCAAGCAGAGCCGATTGCACACTCGCTCGTTGGCAGTCGCTCCCTGCGCTTGCAAGCATACAATGCTGAAACTTTCCCTCGCCTTCGTCATCAGTGTGCGGCGATATTCACGGGCAATACGTAAGTGTGCCAAAGCTAGCTCTTCACCCTTCGTTTACTTCCCTGACACTCCTGCCGCCCAATGGTGACACCGCAGTTTGACCTGATGAAGCTCTTCGAGGTGGGAGGCAACCCCGCAGAAACGCGGTACTTGTTCCTGGGAGATTATGTAGATAGAGGCTACTTTTCCATTGAAGTGAGTGATCGAGGGTGATAAGGCGTGGAGCTGCAGGGCAGCGTCACCTTGAGTCAGCGAGTGAAAGAGACACGCCCCACGCAAGCTTGAGGTGTGCTCACTCTCGGTGGCTATTGGGCTCCGGCAATACGCACAAATCCCTCTCCTGCTTGTGCTGATCCCCATCCTCTCTTTGAATGACTTTCCCTCGCAGTGCGTACTCTACCTTTGGGCACTCAAGATTTGGTACCCAGAAACGCTGTTCCTTCTGAGAGGTAACCACGAATGCAGACATTTGACCGACTACTTTACCTTCAAGCTTGAATGTGAGTCTTGTTCAGCTGCAAACGAGCCTCTTTACTGGCTGATACAGATGCGCATCTCGAACAGGCAAGCACAAGTACTCTGAGCTCATCTACGACGAATGCATGGAGAGCTTCTGCACTTTGCCACTGGGTGCTATCATGAACAAACAATTCTTGTGTATTCATGGAGGACTCAGTCCCGAGCTACAGACCCTCGATGATCTCAGAAATGTGAGCGCTCAGTATCGTTTTCGTGGGTCATGACCAGTTCTCTGACTTGGACGTCCTTCCCACAGCTCAATCGCTTCCGCGAGCCTCCAACACACGGGTTGATGTGCGACTTGTTGTGGGCAGACCCTCTGGAAGATTTTGGCTCGGAGAAGACGACCGAGACGTTCATTCACAATCATGTTCGGGGCTGTTCGTACTTCTTCACGTGAGTTGAATTGCAGCCGCTGCGAGTGCGCAAGGAAGGCACTGATGAGCGGGCAGGTCGGCTCTCCCAGATATCAAGCTGCGTGCCAATTTTTGGAGCGCAACAACCTACTTTCAATCATCAGAGCGCACGAAGCGCAGGATGCAGGATACCGCATGTATCGCAAAACGAAGACCACTGGGTTCCCTTCTGTTATGACCATCTTCTCGGCGCCTGTGAGTTCATCTTCGGTGTGCTGTATGGCGCTCTTTGGTGCCGTTGCCTAAGTCTTTTGCTCGCGGACGCAGAACTACTTGGATGTGTACAACAACAAGGCTGCGGTACTAAAGTACGAGAACAACGTCATGAATATCCGTCAATTCAACTGCACTCCTCATCCGTACTGGCTGCCAAACTTTATGGACGTCTTCACATGGTCATTGCCTTTCGTCGGCGAGAAAAGTGAGTGGATCATCGTGAGCCCACTTATTTTGAGGTGCAGCGTTCAAACATTATTGCTCGCGTCTCTTGCGTCCACCAGTCACCGACATGTTGATTGCTATCCTCAACATCTGTAGCAAAGAGGAGCTCGAGGAAGAGGAAGAGGAGGAGGAGGAGGAAGCATCAGCACCTGCTTCCGGAGCTGTGACGCCAGGAGAGGGAGATGGGATGGAGACGGATGAGGACGGCGCCGAGCGCAGAGTGGTGATCAAGAACAAGATCCTGGCTGTCGGTCGTATGTCCCGCGTGTTCGCGCTGCTTCGTGAGGAGGCCGAGCGCGTTTCGGAGCTCAAAGGAGCTTCATCCTCGGGCAAGCTGCCCTACGGCACCCTTGCGTCGGGAAGCGAGGGCATCAAGGAGGCAATCTCAAGTTTCGACGATGCGCGTGGCGCAGATATCGAGAACGAACGTCTGCCTCCCGACTTGATCGATGCGGACGAGAATGAGCCAGCGTCTCCCGCTGATGGCAAGCGCTTGTCTTCTCCTAGCATGGACGAGACCGAAGATGTTTCAGGCTCGAGCTACGGCCCAGGTAGCTCTTCGGTCCCATCTTCCCCCGGCGGTGTTTCCAGCACTGGAGAGATCTCAGGTGCCTCCTCGTCTGGCCGATCCCATCGCCGAGGTCACTCTAGAACCTCCAGCCTGGGCACGACGAACACCTCAAGTCCGAGTAACAGAAGGAGAAGCTTGGAGAGCACTGTCAACATGATCAAGGAGGCGTTGTCCGGAGAGGAGGGAGGCGACGATGCTGTAAGTCGTCTCAGAGTCGGGCCTGCCGTTGATGCGATTTGATCTGATCATGCGCTCTGTCCCTCTTCTCTGCCATGCGCAGCACATCGAGAAGCTCGCCAACGACATCAGCAGCCCATCGTCACCGAAGACGCGCAGGTCGATCGAACGGACACAGAGCTGATGAATGCCGTAGGTAGGCTTTGCAGAATATCTAGGCGGCAGAGCGAATGCTGGCCGCATCTGGACGCCCTCATCTTTGATCTCAAGGTGACGCTTGAGGCGGCTGAACGAGTCGAACGGCCAGTCATGGTCCTTGAAGACCCCTCCCTTTCTTCTAGCCCGCAATCATCAACTTCTCTCAATCCCTCGAGTGATCCCATCTACACTCTCACCTCACAAATATCCTCCTCTTCTTCACGTCTTCTTGATATACTGCGCAAAAACATTCAAGATTCGCAAGCAAAGCGATCACGTTGCAGCTGCATTCTCTCATACGACTTGGCTCAGGATCCCAAAGACTCGTTGAAAGAGTATCTTTTCACAAAGAGGCTTCCGCGAACATTGTGAAAGAGCTGGACACGAGATTGAGAGTGCGAGCATGACATGTAGAATGCACGTATCCAGGGATGGAAGAAGCTGATGCTGGCACAAAGAAGTGCCTATGTCGGCGCAAGCCGCTGAAATTGACCAAAGCAGTATGCGGTGAACGCGAGCTGATTCAGCCCGTCTTGTCGGTTGCTGCTCCCGCATCAAAAATGGTATTGGCTCCACCAGACGCTGAAGCTGAAGGCTGAGAGCCAGTCGCGCCGGGTCCGCTGCCTGCAGAAGCCGCTTTATCACCGCTCAGATTGTAGGCCTGAGCGACCGACTCTACCGGAGATGCGTGGAGGGGTAGAACATCAGCGTGCTGCTGGAGCCGTGGAAACAATCGCTTTTACGACTCACGTGCTCCTCCGCCAGGAGTCGGCACGTATGCTTGTTGGGGCAAGCCGCTTTCATCGACTGCTTCAGCAGCCTCGACCACTTCATACAGATTGCTAGCAGCTTCGGGAGCTGGAACTTTGCCAGTGAGCAAGTCAGCGGCAGGAATTGGACTTCCGTAGAACTCCTTGTTGGCATCCTTCCTCTCCACAAGAATTGATCCGTCCAACGAAATGCCCGCGTACAGGCCCTTTGACCTTGAGTAGCTGAACATGGGAGCCGGATGCGCCAAGGCGGCTTGAGCACCTGCTCCGACACCAATAGGCCCGGCCGCAGCAGACATGTTGCCTCCGATGGTCAAGTTGCCAGCGAGAGCAAAGGATCGCACAGCGTCCTCTCTAAAGGTCAGTGCATGCAGCGCAGTCTTTCGAGTAAGCAGGGGTCCGAGCTATAGAACGCCACAGTCAAGCCCCGGTACACACGAGTTCATGACGACGACGAAGTCGGAGATTTCAGCACCTATCTGCAGACCGAATCCAGCTCCACCTGTAGCGATGCAACTTGGCGCCGACCAGCTCCCGTCCGGCAAGCGAGCGATCACTACACCACTACCGGCTCTGCCCGACCAGACGAAACCCTGCACATCATAGCACATCCCGAAAGTCAGTGCTCGATGCCCCAGCAACCCGATCGCAAGCCGAAGAGCAGAGACTCACGGCTTTGATGACGCTGAAAACGGCCAGACCTGTGACACATCATCGCAAGGTGTTTGCAGTAAGTGTAAATTCCCACGTCTCATCGCTGATCTCTCACATACCCTTGGCATTCTGAAGCACCGCCTTGGGGATGGAGTTGAGAGCAGAGTCCGGGTGGTCTGGGTTGGCTACAAATGCTTCGAGGATCTTGGCTGCCTTCTCGCACTCCTTTGGAAGTCTGAAGTGCAAATGATTCGAGAAAGGTCAGCAGGGTGCGAGGGAAGCTCGTTGCGCTGTGACAGAAGTCGACAGCGTCCTTCACTTTGCAGCTGGTAGTAGAAGCCTCAAGCACCCTGGAACTCAGGAACAGATCGACGATCAGAGACCGACACAGAAGATGCCGCTGGACCCGAGTGGCACGTGGCCCGTGGCGCGCTGCCTGAGCGATCCAAGTGTACCTCCATGTAGATAGTGCACATGCCTTTGCGTCTCGCTTTGAGCTCGCTCGCACCTTTCCCGTCTATGCGCCCGTCTCCCCAACGCTCTACTGATGTGCTGCAAGTCTCACATGAGTTGTCGCTTTACTCACGAGAATCCAGCCCTGGCAAGATTGGCCTGCTCGTTGATCTGCCTACCAGCATCTTGTGCAAATGCGGTAGCCTGAATGCCAACCTTGGTTGCAGCAGATTGAAATTTTGCTAGATAGTTCGCCATGTCGAGCCTTTTCCTGCAAAAGGATTCTGTCTCTAACTTGTGCGATGATCGTTCCACAACTGTGGCCAAGGTGAGTGTCAGTCACGTATTGGTGCTGGTGGGCGTAAACTCCCAAAGGTCCCGCGAATGTGTCTGGAGGCTCCTGATACGAAGATCGAGCTTGACGTGGATGTCTAATCTTCAACACTAATCGAGTGTCGCTCTTGAAATTGGAGGATGAGACCGCCGTGTGGAATCAGAGGCTGTTGTCGGTGCTTAGAACTTCACCCAGTTCACCATTCGTGATGATTGCATTCACGATTGTGAACGCTGCGCGCCGTACCTACTGCGCGATGCTGCGCGCGATCGTGCGATGCTCTCTGTCCGTACGCCCTCGAGCAGCGCGTGGACTTGCGGGCGACCATGCAAATCGTGCACGGACGCGACCCAGCACACAGCAGAGATCGAGACCATTACACGCGCATGCATACGCGCTATATAAGTAGGCTCCTAGGTGTCCTGCGCACCGCCACAGATCAAATCATAATCAAGAGGCACCACGACTAGTCTCGCATTAACGATTTGTGGTTGCTAGTAGTATTATCAGTTTCAGTGTGCGTTTACGTTGTGTGTGCCCAGCTCTAGACCCTCACGCACGACTCATGACTCGCGTATCACAGACTCATCACTGCTCCATTGAAATCAATTTGACTCGGATTTGGCTTTCTTCTGCTACGAGGCACCATGGCGGTCCAAGCGCGCCAGCAATGGACCTCACCGCTCCACAGGAGGTCGAGCTTGCTTGATCTCGAGTCAGAGAGTCTGTCGTCCAGCAAAGACTGGCCCTCACCCTCCGTTATCGCTGATGGCTCCAAAGATGGTGTTGATGGAATCTCAGACACATTCAGGCGTATGGCAGCAGCCCGCGCGAGGACACCTGCGCTACAGCATCAAGAGAAGCTGCAAAGGGATCCGCCCAACTTTGCTATTGTACGCGCCCATATAATGGCTCTTGCGACAGCAATCTGACAAGCGGGCGCTTTCTACGAGCCATGCGCAAGTACAAGAGCTAGCAGCTAGCCTAAGCTTATACACACACCTGAGGTGAACGGCATCAACTCACGAGCACGTACACGCATATACGCGAACATGGCCGATATGTGATTTGTTTAGCCGGGATTGAGCCGTGTAATCAGGATATAAGCATCAGGCTAAGCTCTGGTCGCCGATCACAGAACCATACCTACGAATTAAAATCTTTTGAGCGTCAGGCATACGCCACAGCAGCACCAACACCACCGCGGCTGTTGGGACGTCTCAGAAGCGAAAGGTCGGCTCATGAGTGATGGCGGTGCTCGATTATTATTTTTGAGATCTCGTTGACCCGCATTCAGCAGCTAGTAGACAGGACAAGAGAGCGCCCGATCTGACCGATGGCTGGATCATGTCTTGCGACCGTCATCTTACGCTAGCAATCTTGAAATGCTTGACAGAAAAGTTACGTGACTTATACGCATCCAGGCGTCTGTTGCATACATTGAATCGAAATCAAAAGATCCTGGTCGTTTGGTGCATGGTGTCACACCGTCGCCCTGGTAGTGCGTGGGTTGTTCTCCGTGGCTGACTCGCTGTCACACCAATAGCTATCTAGGTTCCACGCGGAGTGCCTGACACTCTCGCAAATGACGGAAAGGATTTGAAACAAGATCAAGCCTCAGCGATGCATGCGCTGTGTTGCATCATCAGAGCGAGACTGCGCGACCACGAGAATGGTGATGAATTTGGGCAAATCAGGTTCACCGCGGCCTCCTTTTCGTGTGTTGTATAGCTAGACATCCACGACCAAGCGCTTCCTCACTTTCACACTCTTGACTGTACTACTCAGGCGGAGCAAAATCTCGAATGCAAGGCTGCGCGTTGTTCTTGTTCTGATGCAACCAGGAATGACTCGAGACGTGGAGGTGCGCACAAGCCACACTCTGAACGACTCGACACTCGATCACGACTCTGGCACGTAACATTGCGAATACAGACTTCCGATTGCCGTAAAGTCAAACAAACGACCATCAGTCTTAAAGAGTCGCATTTCGAATCGAGGGGTGCACTCAACAACTCTAATTATGGCCAGTGCATTCACGACCGCTTCGTGCAGGACCACATCCGATTGAAGATTGCGGTACCGCAGGCGGTCTTTTGCGCATTGTGGCTTCTACTCCGGCGAGCCGATATCAAACTCAAAGCGAGCCATTATCAAATCACGATTGACGATTGCTTATCTTCGAGGCCAGAGCACGCGATCTTGTCACCGCCTTCTGAGTTTTGAGTGCATCATGGCGTGCCGGGTCTTCGACTTTGAATCCGCCGCGCCGTGAGGTTATCGTTCAAGCCATTCTTCCCCATCTTGCAATCTTGATTCAAAGATATACTCCGCCGCGATGCATGGCTTGTCTTTGTTCACTAACCATACCTCCACAAATGTGAATCACATGACTCAGGGTCGAGCCTGCCCCACGTTTTGTCTTACGGACCGTTCTCCTACCCCGGATTCCTTCACAGCCGCGCTATATGATGTCGAGGAGCACAACATGTGGACTGCTTCATCGGTCTCAGGTACTCCGTCTAGGCGCGTTGATAGTAGTTGCACCTGTGCCCCGCTGCGACGGAGATAGGCGACCGGCGATCCGAATTGGGTCTAGATGGTAGGGCCGAGGTGGTACATTCCGCAGCTGAAGCTTCAAGTGGACTAGCTTGTTGTGATAGGACAGTCACATTGAATGAGAGGCGGTCGAGGAGACGAGTACCGTGGTCCGCATTCATTGGCATAGTGAGGTGGCGTCGAGGTGGGGCGAGAAGAGCAACAAAGGCAAGACAGAAGAACAAAATGCAAGCCAGGCGCTGTTCTCGTATGCTGCATTCGTGATTATTCGATCGTGATTCCGTGCTTGTGATTGACGGCTTTGCGCTTTACGTGGTAGAGGACAGAGAAGACCTGCCGGAGCTGCCGTATTTGGCGCCCACAGCCGACGTGCATGCGCGCTCGAGAGTTCCGCCGCGGTGCGAGCTTTGCAGCGCGGAATGAAGCTCTGCTGCTGGCTGCTCGTACGTGTACATACGCATGATCAGTCGTGAGTCAGCTGCAAGCACGAGTTGTAAACTCGTGAATCACGCACGAGCGGGTGCTGCGGTCGCGTGTGACGCTGTTATCGCGCGTCACAATCGTGAATGGATCAACAATCACAATCACATCACGCCTCGATTCCCGCGCCCTCGGTGCTCAAAGCGCAGCAGCAACTAATAAGGGAGCTTGACTAGCTTTGACCGACACTCGTGCATGACTGCGATGCAACGCCTTTGTCGGTCCACAGCACGATGACAGAGGCAAGGCGTGGCACATCAGAAGGCGCAACGGGCACAACAACGCGAATGGCAAGACGCCGGGTACATTGCATGGATGGCTGCCTAGCTGCTATACAGATGCGACCGCCGAAGTACCTTTGCGGTGACACAAGCTCGGCCGGCACGAGGTATCTCCTGGATCTGCTCGCGACTTGTGGCTCGCGACTTGTGGCTCGCGACTTGTGGCTCGCGACTTGTGGCTCGCGACTTGTGGCACCCAATCACGAATCAGCACGTATCTCTAGCCACACTCAGACTGCTGCTATCTTTGCTCTGTCGAAGATGTGAAGAAATTTGACGCGGAAGTAAGACGGATCGCGCCACGGATGCAGGGTGTTCACAGTCACAGTGGGCCATGTCATCATATGAGACAACAAAGGTTGCGAGCACCCATGCAGCAAGTTCTATGATTTCTGCTACCCTGACTCAAGACTGCTCACTCACGACTGCGTCGGCCTGACTCCCGCAATAAGCGTACCTCACAAGCGCCACGCAGTCTCGAACGCATTCAGCAAAATGTTGAGCTCTCCCTCGAAGCTTTGCAGTCACAACTTCTGAACCTGGTGTTCGTAATCTAGCTATAGCGCAGCCCCGAAAGACCCGCGCTCCCTCGCAGTTCCGTAAATTAGGAGCCGCGCACAAGGGATCCCAAGCCACGCACTACATATAAAGTTCGATTCGCGGCTGTCCGATTTAGTCTTCTGACTGCGCAGAGGGACTCCCCTTCATCACTCATACTGACCTACAGCCAGAGGCTTGTGATCGCTCAAGGCTGCTGCTCCGTGCCACAACAACGCCAATCGCACCAGCGACAGCGCAAATTGCCACCTTCCCTTGGCCGCTGTACATCGGCTGGCCGTCTTGCGTGATCCGGCGACGAGCTGGGCGTCAAAGTGAGTGTGTTTAGATCAAAGTCACAACAATTTCAGTCGTCGTGCCTGCTCCCTAGCTACTCTGACCCTGACTTCTCTTCTACGGCCACGCAAGTTACTTCACCGTCACAACCAAGCATCTTTGATTTGGCGCGGTTGATCACGCTGATCAGCGAAACTCGACTTGAGGGTCGGCTAGCGAGCGCAATAAGTGAACGGGCGTACATGCGTTTTGTTCAAATTCAAAAACGTCGAAAAACCGGAATAACCACCTTGTATAGCATTCGTCCCGTCGACGCGACTTGCTCTACCACCCTGCTGGTCCTAAATCAAGAATTGAATCAACATAAGCTTGTAAATGGTCGGCTGATGTTTCAAGGCGTGCTATAGTGCGCCGCAACCTCCCACCCGAGCTTGCTTCTCTCCATATACAGGAGTCCAGTAGCGTCTCTGCGACACAAATTGAAAACAGCGACCTACCCCTTTGTGGGTACCATCACTCGATCACCACTCGCTCCTCCAGGGCCAAGACTCATAGACCTGAGCACGTCAACCAGCAACCCGAGAGCGACTGGGAACATCGCCTATGTATGACTGCATCTGCACGATTTCGTGATCGAGGCTCGAGTACGGAAAGCATCACGCTCAGCCCATTCAGCAGCAAAATCCGCGGGCCAGACACAGCCTCACGCGGGAGGCGCGCTGCGCAAACGAAGAGATCAGGTAAAATTGTGATTGCTCTTGTGCCTCTCACATTTTGGCACGTGCGCGAACTGCCAAAAGTGTTGTTCTCGGGGCGAAAAGGTGCGAAGAAAGCCAAATTTTGTGTCATTTGCGTTAAACTTCTTTTTCGCCTATATATCGTCCTGTTCTCAGGGTATCTCTCAACACCATCCCTCTCTCTCCGCGGACGCCATCAGCCTGGTCGAGTGCCTGACCCCATCAGTCTGGTCAAGTGCCTGATGCCAACTACACATATAGGGCAGCGCATTTTTGGGTCAGTCGGAGCTGCGCACGTCCTTACCTCGCCATCGGCCACAGAAGTGATCCGATCCCATCCACCATTAGGTGATCACCTCCGAAGCCACACTCTTCGATAGGGACCCCCATTCAAGCCAGACCTCGAATCATCTTCATCCCCTTTTCTTCCGGGACTCATCAGCACGGCCGTATGCTGTACCGGGCCATCGTCGTCCCCTTCGAGGTCCAAAAGCTTAGTCAAGATCGCAAGTTCCCTGGCAGGCGCTGATGCCGTATCCATATATTGGGGAGGCACATGCCTCACACCACTGCTCCGCCTTTCTTTCCGACAACATGGCTCCCTCGCCACCTCAAACTTCTCTCGACACCTTCGCTCAGCCTCCCTCCAACATCCAAGGTCGCATCAAAGTACGTCCTCTGAGCCAACCACCCAACGTCACTTTGCCAAGAAACAACTGCGCAGAGCAGTCAATCACCACTCGAGCTGGACGACGAGCTTCCAGTCTAGCTCTAATTGCCCACAAGGTCAACGAGGCCTCCGGCAATATGAGTCCAGATCATAGCTCTCATCATTCGAGCGAGTCGTTAACTGAACCCCGCAGAGGACGTTCCCTCAATCGCTCCTCTCGAAGAGAAGAGGCGCACACCAGAGGCCGTTACAGCATATCTCCAGCACGCATTCGACGTCCCCCACCTACCAGCCTACAGCTGACCAAAATGAACGACAACGAAGAAAACAGCCTCCGTTCCTCCGATAGAACGCCATCGCTGTACCAGACTACCGGTGACAGCATCGTCGATGAGCTGCTCGTTTCCTCGCAAGAAAGCATCGAAAACGACTGCTCTGCTCACATGATGCGAATTGGTCGAGTGCCCATTACAACGCCGAGACATCATGCCGTCGAACCCCTCAAGCCCACCGTCGACTCAGCTCCTGCAACTCAACCAGTCAGGTCACACCACGTACGTCAAGATGTTCAAGACCTGGACGACATGGATTGGACTCCCGAAATCGAGCCTAGGACCTCGATATTCAGTCAACTTCCTCTTCGTGCGCGCACAAGCTATCCGCCGAAGAGCGCCAGCGCTTTGGCGACTTCGGGCCACCTGTCGCAACAACAACACCCTCAACGAGAGCGAGACCCCTTGCCCCAGTTGCCGCCTTACACCAACCACCTTCTACGACGTTATGCCAGTGCACGATGTGCCCGTACCTCAGCGCTTCGCAGCCCAGATTGCTCGAGAGGCGTTTGGCTTGGCTTCTCTGATCTTGATCGCTCCAATGACCGCCGTCGTCAGGGACACGACAAGCATCGAAGTGTCGACTTCTTGTATTCGGTACCGTCCTTCTTGGATCGCTCCAAAGCACCGACTTCGCCATCTTCGCCACCGACTTGTCGCCACACATCGAGAGCTTCAGCGGTATCAACCATTTGCGCGTCTCGTATGCCGCATGGTCAGCGCCGTCACACTAGCTTCGATTTTGCTGCACGCCAAGAGCAGATTTGTTTGCCCAAGCAACAGACAGCGGGGAGCGTTCACTCCACACCTCTCACGCACAGCGTTGCGGACGTCAACGGCCGCAACCGCTCGAGCACCGGCTCAGCACGAGCTACCAAGCTGCAGATCGGATTCAGCCCGACAATTGCTGTCAAGGTCGATCGTTCGCAGGCGTCGGGAACGATCAGCACTGGGGAAGAGCGCGCTGAGCCCACGCCAAATGGCGCTATCCCAGCTACAGATGCTCGAGGTCGACTGACCGCATGCGCATGTCGTGCTGGCGACTGTGCTGCATCCCGTCGTCGTCTATCAGAACCACCGACCTTCGCTCGCACACCACCATCGCTGTGCATGCAGTCTGCCTCGGATGGAGTAAATGCTGCGCAACGCCGTGCGGACCACGCATTTTTCCTCTCTCCCGGCATCGAAGGCCATCAGAGCCATGGGAGCAACGATGCAGAGGCAAAAGCGCGCACCGTTTCTTCTACGCAACAAGCTGCTTCTGTTCCAGCGGCATCCCTAGGAGCTGATGACCGTACGACGACAGTCAGCGCTGCCGTTCCTATCAATGCTCCAGGGCGTCGTCAGCTAGAGCTCTTTGCGCACACTTCATCCGACCGTCAGGCATTTGCGCGCCGAAGAGCCGGACTAGACGACGACTCGTCGACCATTGCCAATACTGCCACCCCGTCCGACCGTGAAAGCGATGTTTTCGGCAATATCAACCCAATGGCTTTCTGCGATGAGAAACGAACCCTCGCGCGTCCACATCGCAGAGGCGCTTCCGGTGACCGTGTAAGTCTCACACGCCATCATGCGCCGGTGATAGCCTCATCTAACAGTTGTCCTATTCTTTTGTGTGGTGGAAGCTCCTTGACGTGGGCGCTAGTCAAGATGCTCCATCCTGCTCCGCAGCAGAAGCTCGCGCAGATCGGCTCAGAAATCGCTTTGGATTAGGCCACACTACGCTCGCCTCGCCTCTCGTCGATGAAGAGTTCGCCAGCCTTGCAGCTCTTTGCTCAATGTTCGAGCCTAGAGCGGCTCCTACGTGGCGTGTTCCTGGCTCGATGACTGAGTGCAGCGTGGGCGCGAACCGCTCGGCAGCACAGCGACTCGATGCGAGCGCACAGCAAGCACAGCGCCCCACCTTGCAGCCCACCTCGCTCAGTCCATCCAAACGCAATCACGGGACGACTGATATTTCGGACCCCAACGACTCGACGGACGGCAGCCGGCGCTGCTCCAAGAATGTAAATGAACGGCCCTCACCCTCTCTTCAAACGCCAGCTAGCCCCTCTCCAAGAGGCTATGCTTCTCGCGCTTCTCGCTGGGGAAGGGTCTCATCAGGCCCCAAAGGTACTCAAGTCTCCACCCGTAGATTGCGCAGAGTCGCGAGCGCGGCACCTAGCCTTTCAAGGCCCCACAGCACATCAATGGCTGCTGGTCACTTTGTAGACTTCGACTTTCACGCTTCAACATCTCGTGGGCAACCAGCCACTCACCATGCGATCCGCTTTACTGGCAGCAGCGGGTCGTCTGCCAGCCCCATCATGTCTAATTAGAATGGGCGCACTTTCAAGCCGCACGATGCCCGAGCTCTCGACGTATGCCATCTGCTTTTACTCGCGCCGAACCGACTCTCGCTCGCCATCATCGAAACAGCGCCACGTGGACGAGGCTGACCACCCACGAAATGCCACTTTCTCTTTGTATCCGCAAGCACACAGTCTATCCTCATCAAAATCGCAAGTCCACCAGCTCCCTCGACTCTCCATCGATTCTCGATCCACTCATGGCCGCTGGCGAAGCTCCATTCCGCATTGTCACCGAATCATCAGCACCTTCACCACCGCAAACGTACAATCATCTGCAGGCTACTCGACATCACCGCTCAACAATCTCACGTCATCATCAGCACCGTCGCCAGCACTCCATCAAGTCTATCCGATTATCAGAACAAGATCAGAATCACATTTGCCGGTCTTCACACTCCAAAAAAAGCGAATCTGCTCCTCGAAAAGAAAGCACCCTTCTTCATCATCTCGCCTCACGACGATCACCTGCTTGCAGTCTGGGGCCTGTCATCCGTTGTAAGAGCGCTACCCTGCTCGTGTCCTTTCGCTCAATCATTGCCTCGAATACCGAATCAAGTGAGCCTTTCTGAAGCAGTCTGAGTGCCTGCGACGCGCTGCATGAGCCACCTTTGTTTGTTTTTTTTTTGGGTCAGCAAAAGGATGTACGCACCCCCACAAAATGGTCGACACCTTCCTGACGTCTGCTCAATTGGAGGAGTGTTGAGTTTGGCTGAGTCTTCGTTGGGATGATGATTGAGTGATTGTGACCTACCGCTGCGCGTAGCTGGCTTGACCCGGCGCCTGCTCGCTGAATAATCAAAATCACCTTTCCGGCACTCGGGACAACGAGAGGCCGAAAGGGACTCGAAGTGCAGCAGCAGCAAGCAGCAGCAGAGCGTGCTTATCAATCATTCACGATTATCCGCACACGCGCGCGCACCCCGAGAGTCATGAGTCCTTGATGCGACGCTCGGCCCTGTGAGCGTCGTTGATGCGATGATTAGGTCGAGTAGAGCATTCGTTGTGAGAAGCTTTTGAGTGAGGGTCTGCATTGAAGATGAGCTTCCATCCATGCTGAGAAAGATGGGCAGTCGGTGCGGTGCGTATGCGCATGTTCTTTGCGGAAGACGGATCGGGGAGCGGGCAGAGCGAATCAGCAGCAGCATGCGAAGCGAATGCTGCTGCTTGCTGGTGAACGCGCAACCAAATAAGCCACACGCTGCTGCTGCTGCACGCGTTTCAAGCTCTGCTGATGGTGAAGGAGTCCAGAACCCGAACCGGACCGAGTTGACCGTCGTTGCCGAACAGGTCTCTGGAGACGTGAGATGTTCGAAGGGCGCGCGCTTGTTGTGCTTGCGTCAATCTGTGAAGGACTCAGTGCCCAGTCAGTGACTTGATGCTCAATTGGCCCAGCCGCGCATGGACATCTGCGATTCGTGACTCTATCTGCTCTTCGTCATCCATCCACCTTTCTTCTACATCTGTCCTGCATCACTGACACTCCCCAAGCTCGTGACTCCATATCTGAGCCGCACAAGACACGCGTAACCCCACTACATCCCGTTGAAGCTATATCCCTTGCCTTGCCTTGCCTTGCCTTGCCAGAGCTTCTCTCCTCCGTCCTTCCCGCTGCTCTCAAAGCTCAAGCCAAGCTTTCACCAAAATGGCGCCTGGACCATTCATTCAGATCCCAAGCCATCTCAAGCCGGCTGGCTTGAATGGCCCAGAGCAGCTCGCGATCGAGCGCAGAAAGGCGGTGAGTGCATTAGCAAGGGGATCGTCTCGGTGGCGCGCGGAGCATCTGAGCTGATCCCGTCTCCATCTCCTTCTTGCCCCACCTGTCGCAGTCCTTTGATGTGGGTCAAATGACGGAGTACCTGTATGGCAAAGAGTATTTGGAACGTCAAGCGCAGCTCGTCGAGCTCTTGTCGAAAGACCCTGCCCTTGACAAGAGCGGCCTCAACTACATGGGCAGAGTGGAAAAGTTTAGAGCTGCGCTCAAGAAGGACAAGCGACTGGCTGTGCTTGCCAGAGAGCACAACTGGGACTCGAACACCATCGCACACGCCGAGAAGCTATGCGACTTGCCAGGTGAGTAGAGCGCAGCGGAATGGCTATGCGCCGTCAGGCTATTTGATAATGGCGCTGAGCTTTCGTGGCCCATCATCCCAGGTCCTTTTGGTTTGCACAAGAGCGTGAGTACGCACAGTGGCTGCAGTGGTGCAAGTGTTCGGCTGCTTGGCTCATCTCGCCTATGCTTTTCTTCTTGCAGATGTTCTTGACGACTCTTGAGAGAATGGGCACGCCAGAGCAGCAGGAAGCCTTTTTGGAGCCGGCAAGGCGTTTCGACATTATTGGTTGCTATGCGCAGACGGAGCTGGGTCATGGAAGCAATGTGCAGTTCCTCGAGACTACTGCGACGTACGACGAAGAAGCGAAGGAGTACGAGATCCACTCGCCGTCGCTGACCGCGAGCAAGTGGTGGATTGGAGGTCTGGGACGATCGGCGACACACGCAATCGTCATGGCTCAGCTCGTTCTCAAAGGCAAGTCTTATGGACCTCATCCTTTTGTAGTTCCCATCAGAGATCCCAAGACTAGAGAGATGCTTCCCGGCTGCACGATTGGCGACATCGGACCCAAGCAAGGCTATCAGACTACGGACAATGGATTCTTGCTGCTTGATCACGTTCGCGTACCTCACTTTAATCAGCTCGCCAAATTTGCCAAGGTGGACCTGGATACTGCTGTCTACGTACCTCCTCAGAATGCGGCGCTCACCTATGGTACGCTTACTTGGGTGCGTCAGATGCTCCATCAGCTCGTGCTGCGAATTCCACGTTCGCTGATTTGCTCTTTCGACATCGTTTGCAGGTCCGCGCAAACATCGTGCAAGACGCCAGGACGATTTTGATGCGATCAGCAATTGTGGCCATGTGAGCCCGCACCGGACGTGTTTGCTTGTCGTCTGCTCGATCATGATTGACCACAACTTTTCGTTGGCCTGCACAGTCGCTACTGCAGCATTCGACGCCAATTCGCAGATAGAGATGCCCCAGTCTTCTCTGCGTCGGGCAAGAAGGTCGAGAGTCAGGTGCTTGACTACACAATGGTTCAAGCACGAATCTTCCCCGTTCTTGCCAAAGGTAAGTGGAACATCCTTAGGAAAGGGTCATGATTGGCAGGCGCTAACTGCCAGCACTCTTCCCGTTGTATTTAGCATTTGCCTTCCACTACACCGCTCTCTACATGTTCCAGCTATATCAAGAAAACGTGTCGCTCATCGACAACAAGGATCTGTCGCTTTTGGCCGAGACTCATGCCTCATCATCTGGACTAAAGGCGCTCACCACCATCGAAGCTGCAGAGGCTATCGAGACATGCCGCAGAGCCTGTGGAGGACACGGATTTTCGCTCGCGAGCGGACTGTCGTCCTTGTACAACGACTACTTGCCCAACGTGACATGGGAAGGTGACAGCTACATGCTTTCGCAACAGACGAGTCGGTACTTGCTGAAGACCATGCGCTCATTATACAAGGATCTCGAGGGACCGCCAAAGTCGTTCACTGTGGACTACATGCGCTCGTACCTGCGCGACCCCAACGCGAAGGCGACGATCGAGTTCAGCGGAGACCTGATGGACCCCATCTTCTTCATCAAGGCGTTCGGGCACCGAGCAGCTTGGCTCGTCAAAGAGACGCTTGAGCTGCGCGACGGGCCGGCGAAGAGGTCCTGGAACAGCCTGTTGATCGAGCTTTACAGATGCAGCAAGGCTCATTCTCAGGCTTTGATCGTGTACAATTTCAGTATGGCCATCTTGAAGGACGAAGCGCTAAACAGTCGGCCAGCTCTTCGGACGGTGATGCAGCACCTCTTGCTCTTGTATTGCGCCCACACGATGCACGAGGAAGGCGCAGAGTTTATGAGCTCGGGATACATCACGCCCAAACAGTACAGCTTGTTGTCCACCAAGATTCAAGAGGCTATGCACTCCATCAGACCTCAGGCGGTGTCGCTCGTAGACAGCTTTGCTATTCCTGATTGGCTCCTCAACAGCGATCTGGGTTCGTCCAAGGGAGACGTGTACGAGGTGAGTACAAGGACGGTGTGCTGATTGCGCTCGACTCCCTTCTTTCACAAATGCTCAGGCGACTTTCTTTTCTTGTTTCCCCTCGATAGCGCCTCTTTGAACATGCCGTGCGCGACCCTTTGAATTCGACAAAGTGGAACGTCGAAATTGACAGCGACGTCTTGGATATGGACGGCACGCTGCCTCAGAGCAAGCTTTGAGTCTTTGCTGTGCGATATCCGACATTTGAGGAGACGAGTCCGATTGGAGTCGTCTAAGAATGCGCTTTGTGGTGACAGCGTCTCTTGTAATCCACAACATAGAACACGACATAGAACAGAAATGGCATTCACCGGTGCACAATCTTTGCGCAGTGGCATCTTTGGCCATTTAGGGGTGTCTCATGACAAGTCTTCTTCGCACGCCGTGTCGTCAGCGAGGTAACGACAGTCGGATGTTCATTCGAGTGTTCAACTGTGAAGCACTCTATCAAACAGATTCCTCGCTGTGTTCAATTGCGAACCATTCTATCAAACAGAGTTCTCGCTGTCAGGATGATAGAAGTTTGGTCAATGCCTCTAATTTCACGAATTCTGTGCTGAAGGTGGATGGTAAGTTGCCGAAGGCGAGTCAGGGCGTGCAGCTAGCGTCATGCACATTTGAGAGCTTGAGCAATCTGGCCTGGCTTGCAGAAGACCAGATATCAATCCTTCGAGCGGGACAGGGCGACTGACTCAGACTCCGAGTCGTGGGCTAGCTTGCTTTTGTGTGAATGCTTGTATTGCATTTTATTGGAAGGCAGCCAGAAGATCGCCCAAGCTCTGGGTGAGATAGTCCGGCACGACCTCTGCACCATCCGCATCTATCTCTGCTTTTGTGCTGATTCCGGTGAGAACCAACAAGCTCTTGATTCCACCTTTGTTGGCAAAGGCGATGTCCGTGTCCAGTCTATCGCCCACGAACAATGCTCTGGATTTGTCAAAGGGTTTGACGGCTTCTATGCAATCCAACATGTGCTGATGAGGTTTCCCAATGATTGTTGGCGTTCGTTTGGAGCTGAAGACGAGAGGAGCAGAGAGCGATCCTGCTCCTGGCCATGGACCTCCTTTTGCTGGGAATGTCGAATCGTCGTTGGTGAGGATGAAGTGACATGCTCCACCCGATTCGCCCGCTTGCGGAGAGCCTGAAGTGGCTCCGGCTCGAGTAATGTGCTTGTACGCTTTGGCAAGCTTGATGTAGGACATGTGCATGTCGAATCCGCACAGCACCGCTCCTACTTTGCCATCTATGACCTCGGGTTGAAGCAGACTTGTAAAGTCGAGAGTTGGAAGAAAGACATTGTCTTCTGGAGTCTGCGATGCGCATCAAAAGAAGGAATAGGGGAGCGTCGGCGGAGACGCTGGATGTGCTTGCAGTGATGTTGCCCCACGTCGGAAGGAGTCATGCACTCACAGTTCCTCCGCACCACTTCAGCCCGACATCCTCCAACTCTTCTTGAATGCCCTCCATGCCCAGCACATACACTTTTCGATCTTCTGGCAGCTTCAGCACGTGCTTGAGGTACACCGCGGACGCGTACGCCGAAGAGAAGATCTCCGACTGGAAGCGAGTCACGGCTCGTGAATCGGATCTTTCATCATGGCGAACTTTCGCCAGCTAGCATACATGCACTGCCCCACCCAGTTCCCTCGCCCAACTGCACACTCACTACATCAGCCTGAATGCCCAGACTTTGAAATCTCTTCAGGTAAGCTCTGCGGCTCTTTGTGGCGTTGTTGGTCACAAAGATGATGCTCTTTCCGCTTGCTCTTAGACGCTGCAACACTTCTTTGGCACCCGCGATCACCTCGTCCCCGGACCATAGCACTCCATCGCAGTCGAACAGGTAGGTATCGTAAGAGGATATCAGCGATGCGTGTTCCGCCGAGGTGGAGAGGTGCTTGTAGGACATGATGCTTTGAGATCACCAATGTGAATGCGAATCGCGAATGGACGCGGCGAGGTGGAGTTGCTTCGCGATTGACCGGACGGCGGGGCGGATTGGAGAGTGCGACACCTGTAGGCGAGCACTCGCAATTCGTCAAGGAGAGCGTCTCACCGCGCTGACTTTCAAGACAGACGATTCACAATGGTTGAAGACAGATGGGGGTGAGAGCGAGCATGACATGGCGTGCGAATCGTGTGATAAGACCGAGAGTAATTCAAGCGGATCACTCGACTCAAACTCGATCGATCGACCACTGACGTGCAGCATGCATGGGATGATTGGACATCACGTGCTTGCCTGCCGCCCATTTTTTATTCGTGATTGCGAAAGGTTGAGTCGTGAATAATGTTGTGAATGTTGTGAATGTTGTGAATGTTGTGAATGTTGAATGTGAATCTGGATGCACTTTGAGGCACGCCCGCCGCCTTTTGCATCCTTCCCTTTGCACAGCATCCTCGCCATTCGCATTCGCATTTGCATTCACAGATTTCTTGCGCTTTTTGCGATCAGCACAAGAACCACGCGCAAGGGTCACAGTCTGAGTGCCTCGCCTGCAATCAGTCGCAAAACCACCAGAGGACTGTCAAGACGGATGGAGATTGAGCTCTTGCTCAGCAACCTGGGCGTATAGCGCTGCTTCGACGTGGGTCACCTTGACCAACCATCTGCACCTTACCTGCTGGCGCACACCTGCATTCCAACGCCGCCCAGAATTGTGTGGCAGAGCGTTGCCTGTCTGACTCGAACGGCTGGCACACATCCAGCTGAGGCCCTTGGCACCCATCGACCCATGGCTTCTAGCAGCCGATCCAGGCTGTAGCACTCCTCCCGGTAGGCTCGGTATGTCGAACAAGCGAAAGCTGGAGCTCGCCTTGGATCAAATGGCGGGAGAGCACCAGCGCGCGCATCGACAGGCTGCCGCTCGATCTGGAGATGCGAACGAGGATCGGGCGCGAGCATCGGCCAGGATGCACAAAGCAAAGAAGGCGAGATTTGAGACGGCAAATGTGAATGTGAATGATGGCAAGGCTGGGAAAGGCAATGGCAAGGCTGGCAATGGCAATGGCAATGGTAATGGTAATGATAATGGCAATGGCAATTCGTCCCAAGCGACCGCGGAACCTGCCAAGCTGCAGCTGTCAAAAGCTTCCACCAAGCACCAGCCACGCTCGAAATCCTCACGCCATCTCTCTCAAGCCGGTTCTTCCAGATCCTTCAGCGACACCTTGCCCAGCTCTCTGGATCTCAACCAACACCTCGAATCTCACGCTTCCCAGATCCGCACCATCTCGGTCCAGCTCAAGACTGGTCGAGGGTCTTCCGCTACTCGAGCTTGGCAAATGCTGCCTCGCGCAGAGAGGAGGAGAGCAGCTTCTCATAATCTTTTGGCCTTGCCCAAGAGGCTGAGGGGTAAAGGAGCGAGCGAGTTGAAGAGCTCTAATACGACAGCTACGACGAGGAAAGAAGTGAGGAAGAGAAAGGGAATGAGCGGGAGTACGGGCGGATATCCTCGAGTGAAGGAGAGGAGAAGAAGAGAAAGATTGAGGGGCAGAGCAGGGGACGAGGCTGCCATGTCATCCGCAGCTGGGGTGGGAGGTGAGATCAAAGGCAAAGGCAGATGGTTGGAGACGCACCTTTGGCATGCCAAACGATTTCGGATGACAGGCGTGGAAGACAAGGTGGTCCGCAATCCTCAAGCAGCCCATGATCCAAGAGGAGTAGAATACAGTGGTGTCTCGAGCGTCACAAGGAGCAGGTGGGGCTACAATTTGGCCGAACAGCCGAGCAGCAAAGGCTTCAAAGCTGCCATCAAGGCATGTAAAGATGGAGTAGCGGTGCACGATGCCAGCTATTGGCAAAGCGTACGCGTGGGCTATCGTTTACGAGGACGCTCGGTCTCGCAAGGAAAAGAAGCGAGGATGAAGCTTGCGCAATTGCTTCGTGAAAGCGGACTGGATCTCGAGTCGGACGAGCTGGATGCAAGAGCAACCTTTGCTACTCTTACGGAACAGAAAAAGCAGTACGTTGCCCCTGTCACTTTGCTATGGGTGCAGCCAACGGACTCGAGGGGTGTTGCAGACGACGCAGATGCACTCTCGTTATCATCGCCCCCCCTTGGGCAAGCCTCGGGTCGAATTTCGGAAAGGGAAGCGATGCAGGTGGATGACCAGCCGCCAGACATTCCAAATGCACGAACGCTGGCTGCGAGCGAGGCGCACACCGCTGAGGCAGAGGTCATCTTGCTAGTTCATCCTGCCGGACTGGCCTCTTTACGCACAGCGCTCACGAGCTCCATCACTCTGCAGCGGAGACGAATCCGTCAAGAGAGGCAAAGGAGGAGACGAGCACCCACGGCGTCGTCGGCTCTTGTGCCCTCTTCGTCCGACTGTTTGGCCGAGCTACCTGAAGTGGAACAGGACGAGCACGTGTATATGCAGCTTCTCAGGCCCGCTTCTCCTGCCCTTTGTGCCAAGTCGGACAGCAAGGGACGGAAACACGGCACATTGAGTCATTTCAAGCTGGACCAAAAGCTGAGGAAAATGGCATCCATCTCTGCACAGAGAGACGAGCAGGAGGGACAGAAAAGCCGAATGGAGGGATACAATATGTTCCAGCTATCTGGTCCCCGATCCGGGAGATTGTTGGGAAGCATATTGAAGCCCGTAGCTCGCACAAGTCCGGACAAAAAGCACGCGTTCAAACTCATCTGCTCGGTGTTGAAACCTGATCAGATCCGAAGAGGTACGATGCTGGGATTACAGGTGCATGATCCAAGATTGCGCAACCCTAGCACCGTGAAGAAGGAGGTTTTGGATCGTAGAAAGATGCAGCAGGCGGCGGGAGCACTCGAGGTGATTTGGGACAGACCAATGGGACAAGGGAAGGAGAGAGAGGACGATGAGGATCAGCGGAGATGTGCTTCGGTTAGCGCGACATTGGCCCAGACAGATCTGCTTAGTCAGGGAAACGAGATGCCAAGAGTGTCCAAAGGAGAAGTGGACTCGCTTAAAGCTCGCGTGAGTGTTGAGGCGTGTCGGCATTGCGCTTTGCGCGTACATGAAGTGGAGATTGAGCTGAACCGACATGTTGTCTTGCCTCAGAATCTCATACCGGGCACCCCGCTCACTCCATCATCGACGACCCAAATCGTCTCTATTGCGATCATAGCGCATCGAGATCCTGTGCCCGGCTACACCCTCTTGGTTCCTCGGGGCTGGGGCCGAGCCTTCTTCCACTCGCTGGTTCATTCCAAACCAGTCGTGCTGTGTCTCTCCTCCCTCGCCTCCCTATCTTCCCAATTCGCCAGGCCCGTCTTTCCCTTTGATCATCCGGGATGCGAAGCGTACAATGCATGGGAGAAGCAAGAGGTGGGAAGAGAGAAGGCAAAGTGGTGCAGGACACCGATGGGCAAGAGAGTCAATTGGGAGAGTGTGGGGACTAGATTTGCTTGGGGAGGAGAAGGCCTTTGGAAAGCTTGTGTGCAAGAGAGCTGGAACAGGACTGCGCTCATGCCTCGGAAGAAGGACGAAGAGATCCAAGTTCGCCTTCTGCCACCCGGCAAGGCTTTCAAACGCACGGAGCGCTACGGAAAGCACGATGCCTCTTTGAGACATGTCAGCATAAGTGCGATCAGGAGAGGTCATTTCGGGCCTTATACAGAAATACACATGCTCACACTTGAAGAGCAGAAAGTTTGGCGAAGGGCTCTGCTGGACGCGCCCAAGGATGCGCAGCTCGATTTGGAGGCAGAAGATGCCGCAGAGCCCGTCGTAGATCCGCGCATAGCGAAGCGTGGCGCTAGCAAAGATCAGAGTGCTCTGAGACAGGTGAGCGATGGCTAGCGCGTACACCCTCGCATGTCACGACGAGTTCTGCAGTGCCAAATCTCATCATGCATACGTCTCTCTCATTTTGTGTCAAATCAGCTCGAACAATCTCACCGAGATGCATCAAATTCCCTCATGGGCGCTACGACTTCGGGCACATTCTCCTTGGCAGAGGGCAAAGCTTGTGCGGTTGGCGTCATAGCGAGCGTTGCGGTGCGCGAGCTGCAAGAGAGAGCTGCGGCTTTGCGGGTAGAGCAAGAAGAGCAGCAGGTGGATGCAGGTCAACAAGCCACAGAGGACGAAGAGCACTTGATGGGAATGGAAGGCGCAGATGCCTCAGTCGAGGGTGAAGCGGGCAAGATCCAAATCAGGCCATGTGCAAAGTCTAACGGCGCAGCCTACCTCGTCCTCACAAAGGAAAGGCAAAGCTCGGCGTGGAGGGCCGCGGAGCTCAGACTGCTGTAAAGTTGAATTAGCGCAAAAGTCGTGGCATCCGCCAAGCAAGCATCAGCACGAAGGCACACGGCCGATCGCAAGTATCGGACAAAGGTCGAGTAAGCCACCCAAGACAACTTGATGTGTATGATTTTGCAAAGTAATGTAGCATGTGCGGTGATTGACCGAGCTATGAGATACCTGAATTGTCTTATGACTTCATTGCGGAAGTAGGAGCTTGGAAGGAAGGATCCCGGGTGGGCATTTTCGTGGGGAGATCATCATCAGCAGTGATACTGGCAGGCTTAGCATAAGCCTGCCTGTGCACCCTAAACGGGCTCTCAGGCTTCCAAATATCGAAGCGATCCTCAGCTTCCTGTAGCGCCGTATCTCTCGCTCCCAATCGCGCCAAGGCTCGCATGCTGATCTGGTCCGACGTTGCTTCTTTCCAAAAGATGCTTGCGGGTGCGGCATCGGGTAGATTCTTGCCGTTGCTAGGCGTGCTTGTGGGCGAAGATGCGTGAGAGTCCTTGGCTTGAGAAGCTTCGGGCCCACTTCGACTCTGCCCGGGAGCGGCAGGCAGACCAATCCCCTTGCTACGCTCCTCCAGGAACCTCTTGAGCGCATCAGGATTAGAAGCGAGGGTCTGCAGAAGCTCTTCGTCCCGATCATCGAGCGCTCGAGCATTCGGTAAGCTCAGATTGGCAAAGGCTTGCTGTCGAGCTCTGACATCTTCCAGATTGCGTCGGATGGTCGCTTCGCTTAGATGAGGCTGAGGATTGATCGACCACTCGACTTGCCCTGCATTTGGTCGAATGATGGAGGAGAGATATGCATTAGGTCGGCGTTGCGGTGCTGTCTGCATGAAAATGGGATCTCCTACTCACAGTCGACGGGGTTCAAAGCATCTCGAGCTCTCTTCAAGATCTCGTTCTCTGATCGTACATCGACGCTCCTTCCAGGCAAACTTGAGAAGTCCACAGGTCCGCGCACAAGATTGCCATCCAGATACCTATCCATGAGCACTTCGAGCTGGGCGATAGTTCTGGGCCCCTTTTTCAACTCCTTCTGAATCGTGCTCGTTGTGTCGATAGCCTCACTCAAGACGGCGAATGCTTCGTCGTCCGCATCACTCTCGGACTTCTGACTTTCGCGAGCTTGCGCAGCTTTGAGACTACCTGCGTCAAAGTCCGGCTCCACAAAGACTTGCAAAGCATCTTGAAGGTGAGGATGAGCTTCTAGCGTCATTTTCACACCTTGTCCCGGAAAGAGCGCAGTAGCAGCATCCAAAATCTCCTCGAGCATAGCCAAGGAAAGTCGGAAACTCTGCTCTGCCATTTCCATGTTCCCAAAAATTCTCCTTGCCATCTCCTCGAGCGGGATGTACTGAAAACCAAAGATTGCGAGGGTGCTGTGGTGCGCGACAAAGATGCCGTCCATATGACCTATCCTGGCTTGAAAAAAGTACTTTAGGAAAGCGGATCGCACCATGTCGTACAGCTCTCGTTCAAAGCTCTCGTATGCGCCATTGAGCTTGCGCAATCGGTAGCCGCCGCTCTCCACCCAGTTGGCCCTGTCCAAACGCACAGCGTGTACCGCTCTCGTCTTCAAGTCGAACGTTCGACGAGGAAGACGCGGGTCCATGCAGTCCAACTGACTTCGCATGACGATGCCTCCGCTCCTAGCATAATGATACGATTCCGGTCTGTTCCTCTCCTCGGGGGACAGCTTGTCGCTGTTGATGCGCAGGTGCTTTTCGTAGACATCGGGCGGTGAAGTGAGGAGCTTCTCGAGACTCTTGCCAAGCTGAGTCAGCACGTAGTTGCTATCCTCTGGTTCACCGCTCGATTCCTTGTCTTGGTCGATTGCGAAACACGGCCTGCCATCTTCACTTTTTCCCTGAAGCTTCTTCAATCTGATGCTGGCAGGCATGCGCGTTGCAAAGGTCCAGCCGGTACCTTTCAGACCTTCGCTGAAGCCCGTCAAGTCGGGTTGCCTGTTACCAGACAGATGAAAGTAGATCTGTGACATGGCCGTTGTCATGCTGCTTGTGCTCCCACAATACTTGGCCTTCTCCCTCCGCGTAATCTTGCGCAGCTCGGGATCGACGGAGGAGGTGAGGTAAGGCGTCAGACTGTCGTAGTCGAACAAGTCGACGTCCGGAATGTGCCGCAAATACGGATCGAAGTTGTACGTGCCAGATCTCGGATCTTTCAGCCAATGCACGCCCGGGCTGGTGAAAAGAGTTGCGCAGAACGAAGTTCAGCATAGCTGCTCGAGCACCGCATGACTGCAGTCCAGAAAGACGACGGCTGTTGCCACACTTACTTGAACAGTACGCGAGAAAGGTTGTGAGCGAGCCTGGGTGTGTGCATCTCTCGTAGCGGCTCGACCTCTGCGGTGGTCACCAAAACGACCATTAGCAAAGCGCACGAGTACGTTGCATGCTCTGCGCAACCATCTTTCGAATGCGCACTCACTTTCGACCGGTCTCTCCATCGCGCTCATCTTTCCCCCCACCGTCTCCTGCCAATGATCTTTTGCCTTGTCCGGCCCGACCCATCCGCCCCTTCTATCCCTGCCATTCTCCTCTGCGCTCCAGACTACTCTTTCCTCCTCTGTCAAATTTCCAGGCGCGACCAATTGACAAAAGGCGTGCTCTTTCGGTTCTAGTCTCCTTCTGACTGGTGCGCGCGGCAGTTGGTGTGGAGCGGGTCCGGAGGCTCTGCTCGGCCTGCTCAAATTTGACGTGTAAGATGACCCTGGATATTGGGCTGCGTGTGGAGAAGAGGAACTTGGGCCCGGCGAAGGAGCATTGGTGCCAGCTGGCAATCCAGAAGGAGAGCTTGGCGTTAAAGAATCTTGAAACCACAGATCCTCGGCTGAGGTGATGTGTGATTTGAGAGATGAAGCTGAGGCTTTGAGCGGAACGAAGTCATCTTCAAATGACGAAGCTGAAGCAGCACGTTTCACGCTTGCTCTGGAACGAGGAGCTACAGGTCTTGAAATACTTGCACGTCTCGCTGCTAATTTGGCCTTTCGACTGTTGACCTTGGAAGAAGTGCTCTTTGGCTGTCTGCCGATGTGCCCCTGCGTCTGAGACAGTCTAGATGACCTCGAAAAGTCTTGCAGAGGTAAGACCTGACGATTCAGCCTGACCATGGGCACCACAGCCTTCGGTGAGCCCGCCATTGGGCGGCTTGCCGAGCGCGAAAAGTGCCGAGAGCACAGTTGTGCTGCGGAGGCAGATGCGCCCAGGTCGTTTCGTGAATGCTCGCAGATGTGATCGCTCCTTGCGAGCACGACGATGTGGCCAGTGCTCTGCAGCGCCAATCGAGGTCTCTGAGAAGTTTGCATGAGCAGCGCTCGCGCTGCTGGTGACATGTTCGCCACCATCCTGCCTCGGGCCAGAAGGGAGGCACCTCCAATGTTTCCACTGTTGTGGTGAATATCTTCTTAAAGAGCGCAGCGATTGGGTACCGAATCTTGAGCGCCAGCGACCTTCTGTACGATTGCAGTGATGCCTTTGTAGACAGTAGTGAAATGACTTGATACGCTTGAGCGAAGAGAGTGTGAAACAATGGATAAAGGCACGTACTCGACGTGTCTCGAGCGAAAAGGCACAACGGAAGACCCACGGCAGCATCGAGGCTTCGCAACAAAGTCGGGCGAGCAGGCATGCTGCTGCAGCAAGGCTCCAAGAATTTTGAATCAAATGTCTTTGATTTTGGACGCGTGTGTCAGCCAGGTCACGTGTCCGACGATTGGTCGTATGCTGCCTATCAGTCGACGCGAAAAGCAGGCGCGCCGAGATGTCAACATGCAAGATCAAGATGGGGGCAACATCAGCCTTAGATGTAGTCAAAGCATAGGGCAATCATGGATCGTATGTAGCCCACTATGAGGCAAGAGCGACACGAGTAAAGCCATGAGGGGGCTCGGCGACGTTTCCCACACAACAGCTCCCGCTCGAACGGCCAACGCAAATTCTCCCCAAAGCGATGTATTCCGTGAGACCATTGTGTGGTGCGAATACGTCCCGGTCATTCCTCTTCTTCGGGTTCCTCTTCCTCATCTACATCGCTCAGACCCTCTTCTTCCACCTCTCCCTCCGCATCATCGTCTTCGTCATCATCCTCCTCGCCCTCTTCACCGTCCCAATCCGGCTCCCAGTCCGGATCATCCTCGTCATCCACATCGCCCCCTTCATCTTCGCTCACATTCCTCCCTCCTGAAGATGCGGCTTGACGCGCACGGTGGGGCACTATACGATGATTGTGCACAGGGGCAGCAGCTTGCGGACCTGCAAAAGATCTGAAAGTGGCAGCAGGACTGTTCAGGCCCAACGGCTGGCCAAAAGAACCGCCGGACGTCAAAGCAGAAGTGATTACTTGAGGACTGCTGCGGCCAGAGACATTCGGTGAAGTCGTCACGAACGGAGATGGGGACTTGCTGCTGGCCTCTGGCGACACGTTTGTGCGACCTAGATTGCCAAAGAAGCTCGAGACTGCGGCAGCACCCGACGATGCTCGGGGCTCCGGCTTGCTGCTGCTGTATCCAGGTGGAGGCGCGAAGCTGAATCCGGATTGCGTCGTAGAGGACGTTTGCGATCCCGGAGCGAAAATATTGTCTCCAGTCAACGACGCCGGGAGTTGCACAGCGGCATTAGTGCGAGTCTTTGTTTTGGCATGTCCTGGGCGGAGATGGCTTCCTGGCGATTCTGCTCGAGAGCCTGGAGCAAAAGGGGCGGATTCTGGAGGCAAGGAGAAGAAATCTTTGGATTGTCCTTCACCCCACAGACGAGGAGCCATCTCGCGATGGGTTCTCGGCGCGTGCGCTTGATCTTGGATGCTCTGATGAGCTTCGCCCTCATGGCGCTTGCCAGGCGACGTGATCTGGGCTGGTCCTCTGGCTAAGGAGATGTCGAGATCTGCCAAGCTGAATTCCTTTGCATGAGAGGCAGGCGACGTTCGAAGATCAACGGCCTCGGACGGCACAACATTCAAAAGAGGCTTGGGTCTTGCACGGGCGAAAGCGTTCCGCAACGTAGCGCATCTTCGCTGTTGATTAATGGCCTCCCGCGCGATCGCTTCGGCTGACGCAGCCGCGTAGGACTTTGTGAATGCGTCCGGGAGTGTGTGTTCCAAGTCACCGCGCATCGATGCGAATGACCCCTCTCCTGACACATGGACGCTGCGCACCGTCCTAGAGAGTGCTGAGGCTTCCGGAGACCTGTCGTATCGATCGAAACCTTCGGCATTCCTCGCCCCCCGACTGAGCTCAAGCTCCGTCTCGAGCTGATCGAGCTCAAGGATTCGCGCGGTCACCACGGCCGAGAGATTTGTGATGCTCCTGCGGATGCTCTCCAGGGATGGTGTTTGGAGAGGATGCCCAGATCCGGATCGCTCCTGGTAGACCTGACTTTTCAGAGACTCGATGACCTCAGCCAGCTCTTGAACGCGTGTGCGAACGGATTCAATCCCCGCCCGAATCTTCTCTTGATTTTGCACGTGCTCAGGCCCAAGCTCTCGCACTCGCAGCAGGCGAGCGTATTCTGCATCCGAGCGCGCTCTGATGAATCGAGATGCCTCTTCTCTCTTCGCCTCTGCCTTGAGCGCTACACTCTGCAGTTCCATCACTCTTCTTTTCCTGCCCTCGCTCTGATCTTCGTACGCCTTGACGTCCTTCTCCAGTTTTCTCATGGTGTCGAAGCAAGATGGTAGGTCGCCGAAGGTCCAATGCGGCTTCTCGGCGCCAGAGAGCTGCTCGTCCCAGGGCTGCCTTAGACCCGCTTGAAACGTCGCAGATGCTTCCGCTTGACTTCGCAGATACTTGAGCTCCTCCTCGATTGTAAGGTAGAGCCGCAGACACTCGCCAGCAATGCCAGACTCCTTGATGTCGCCGATGGGTGGTGCTGATGTGGAGCTGCCTAGAAAAGGCGGATGCCTATCCTCATATGCGCTCGTCACTGCACGTCGTGCTGCGTGTCCAATTGGCTTCTGTAATTGTAAAGAAGGTGGTGGCAGCTGAGATGGCGACGGACGACCTTGAGATTGCGCCTTTTGAAAGCTAAAAGCAGACTGCGAAGCAGTGGGCTCCGATTTGAACTGCGTTGAGAGCTGGGGCGGCGGAGCTGACGATGAGGCGGGCGCGCCCCACAATGGCGTGGAAAGCTGAGCACCTGACGCGCCAAATATTGGCCCAGACCTCTCTTTACTTGGCTGGCCAAACAGCGAAGAAGCTTCCTTCGATGCGCCCTGGGCAGCGCCTGATCTAGCCGGCGCCCCGAATTGCGGTTGCAGGAGAGGAGGTTGTGCCTGAGATCCACCAAATGTCTTGGCTGCTCCGGCTGCGGGCGACTTCTCAGGTGAACTGAACAGGTCGGATCTATTCACTGGCGCCGCCGCCAGCGGTGAGCTACTTCGTGGAGCTCGAGCATTGAAGGCAGAAGTGAAAGGTCCCTTGCCGAAAGAATTTGACGGTGGTTGTGGCTTCGCTGCTTGACTTTGGGGGGTCACGCCTTTGCTTTCGGCAGGCTCGGGTGCTACAGGCTTATTACCGAAGACACTTGGTTTTGTTGGCTGTGATGCAGCAGGCTTGCTACCCAAAGGAGTGCCGGAATGCGATGTTGTATTTGCGGGAGCGGCTGCACTCGAGTCCGCCAAATTCGCGGAGGTCTTTGCCGTAGCTGGAACGGTCTGCGAGGTAAGCGCGGAGCCCTGAGTCGAGAATCCCGTGGGTGTCACTGCAGCATCTAACCTCGACTTGCTGTCAGGGGAGTGCTGGGGAGTGGTAGTCTCTGGTGGCGGCGCAGAAAGGACTGCAGGCACTGATGCACTGGGCGTTTGCGCGCTTACTCCAACGGGAGACACCGGCTTGGCTGCCGTGAACGCAGCTCCTTTCTCGGCCTTGAGAGTGTCTTGTGACTGGTCTGCATTCTGTGACGATTCTTCACCCGCCTCAGCATCAAGGCTGGATTCGGTCACGCCTGGCTCACGTGCACCGCCCTCTTCTTTGGCTTCTTCAGCGGGCGAAAGCGATCGTTCAGATTCGCCTTGCTCTGATTTGTCGTCGTCAGCTTGTTCACGTTCACGAACGGTGTACGGCTGCACATCGTCTTGTTCCGGCTCCGAGACGGTCTCCGATTGAATCGTCTTGTCGTCGGATGGCGAGACAGCAGGACTAGGCGTCGCAGACTCGGAACCGTCCCGTTTCGGAGTGTGACTAGGTGGACTTGCTGATGCTGACGCTGGTGCTCTCCCTTTGGGGGAGGTTTCTGGCGATGAAAGGTGTTCTTGCACACTTCCATTATCGGTCACGTGAGGTTCTTGAGTAATGACAGACTGCTGCGACTCGTCACTGCTCGGCGCTGCTCGCACCCCAGAGCCCATGGCATATGGGCTACTAGACAGTGTCGCCTCGTGATTCGCTGGAGGTGAGCTTGGGGGCGACGGTGTATGTTTTTTGCGCTCGTCGGCCTCTTGACTGCGAGAAGAGCTGGGCTTCTGCTCGTTCAAAAGAGACCCAAATCCACCAAAACCGAACGTGCCTTCGGAATCTTTCGCTTTGCTCTGCTCCCACTTGGGATCGACTGTCGAAGCTGCACTCTGAGGCGCAGAAGCCTTGTCCATCGATCCTCCAGGGCCAGTCCGGAAACCGGTGGTTTGAAAAGCCGGCTTCGCTGCCGATTCTTTCAAGCCGAAGCTCGGTGATGCTTGACCGAAGGCAGGCTTACCACCGCTCTGAAGAGCTCCACCTTCGCCAAAGATGGAAGCAGAAGAATCGGCAGCCTTCGCACCGAACAGCGGCTTTGCGTTCGAGAAAGCACCGAATCCACCCATCGAAGGTGCGCCACTTCCAGATGAAGATGGAGATGAGGAAGCGTTTAGCGACGTTAAAGCGTTGGACGCTCCCTTACCTCCAAAGACACCACCGGAATCAGCGGAAGACGGTTTTCCAAAGACAGATGTCTGTCCGAATGCAGTGCCACTGGCCGAGGCACCTTTGCCAAAGGCAGAGGATTGTCCAAATGCAGAGGGCTGTCCAAAGCCGCTGCTACCGAAAGCGCTTGTAGATCCAAAGGCTGGAGCAGCTGATGTTTTGACGTCTGCTTGGTTTGCAAAGGCGCTAGGAGGACCAGTGGAAGCGGACGGTGCGCCAAAAGCTCTTGCAGGCGAAGAGGACGATCCAGTCTCAGAAGACGTAGATGGAGAGCCAAAGGGAGAGGCCGACTTCGAAGGACTTCCAAATGCCGAGGTTGGGCTTTTGCCGAAGGCGAACGGTGAAGACGTTGCGCCTTGTCCAAAAGCAGACGGCGCGCCGAATGCTGTAGCTCCAAATGCGGAGGGCGCTGATGTCTTACCGAAGGCCGAAGGTGCGGTACTGGCTCCGAACGCTGAGGGCGCGGACTGCTGGCCAAAAGCAGAGCCGGTGCCTTGGAAAGTTAGAGCAGGTGCGTTGCCAAATGCGGACGTAGACGCAGAGCTCGCACTGCTTTGTCCGAAAGAGAAAGCATTCTTTGGCTTCTCGTCCTTGGGGCTCGCGCTACTCGGAGTCGGCGAGCCGAAGGAGAAGCCAGTCGATCCAAAGGAAACGCTTGCTTTGCCAAAGGCGCCAAAACTGGGCGTTGCTGGCTTAGTCGCTGACGCAGCTCCCTCTGAAGGGACCGCTGGCGCAGGCTGATCTGCGGAAAGAGCCTTCGTCTGCTCCTGTGGGGTTTGCGAAGCTTTTGCAGGCGTTGATACGGACGCAGCTTCGCTTGTCAACATTCCTGGGAAGGCCGCTCCTGTGGTGTTGATGACGTGGTAAGCGAGAAGAACGCCATCCGTGGTGTAGACCAACAGTATAGGACAAGGAGGGAGCTTCTTGGTCCCATCCTCGCCCCTAGCAGCCGCCAGAGGATCATCTACGTTCTCCGTTGCAGACAAGTCCACGGCCAAAGCAACCGGAGCGGTGTCGCTCTCTTTGTCGACGGAAGAGAAGGGGAGCGTCGGCCTACTTGTCTCTTCGAGCTCGGCGGATTGCCAGCCCTCCGTCTCTGTGTCGAATGCGTCGGCACGAGAAAGCAGTACGCCGACGTCGGTGGATGCAGACGCAGCTAGGAACAGCAAATGCTTGCTTGGAGACCATCCCTTCAGCGAGACTGCGTATCTTTGAGCGCGCCTTGAAGTGTCGCCGAATGAGGGTGCAGGATCCAGCGGGAAGCGCAGGTACTGCAACGAGGGCGTCTTGGTGTTCCTCAAAATGGCGTACAGCGTCTCTTGGTGATCTGGCTCGTCGGCTGAGCCAGATGAGATAGTGTTGTACGTAGCCACAAAGACGTTGTTCTCAAGCCAAGAGAGATGAATGATTCCCATGCCCTGCGCCAAGTCTGTTGGAGATGGGATTCGTTCTTTGATCTCTCCCTCTGGAGTGAGCTGAACGATGCCTCCATCGGCCAGGCCTAGGGCAATCTGTTTTCCTTTCGTGCTCCAGCACGCGCTCAAAATGGCCGATCCAACATTCAGTGGGGCGCCCCATTGTCCGCTCCGCAGATCCAAGATGCGTGCTTGACCGTCCGTACCATCCGAAGCGTCTGCTTGCCTCTCGGCGTAAAGAACGACACCTAGCTCTCCGCGCTCTCCAGGGTTGGCGGCCACCTCCAAAAGGCCCAAATTAGCTACCGGAGGCTGCAGCGTGTGCGTAGCTTGCGACTAGAATGGTCAAGACGCGATCAGCTTGTGGCCCACCCGTAATCTAGGCGCAAGGCCCGCTTCGTCGCAATACGTCACCCTTCCTGCGACTCACAATACCATCGAGCGCGTGCTCCAGAGTCCAGATTGCCAGCGCTCCATTCTCCAGTCCAACGAGAATCCTTTCATCATCATCGGCAAATCGGAGGAACGAGACGGCAGCCGCTGTCGGTATTCTCTGGATAGGCTGCGGCTCCACCGTCGTGTTTTTCTTCGATTCGCTAAAGGTTGACCGTAGCGAGCTAAGAGCGTGTATAGCTAGACCTATTGTTAAGGGAGTGACAGTGCAAGTTGTTGGGAGACGTGTAAGACAGGGCTATATCTCGTGCCCTTACGCTCGCTTGGGTCCCTCCACCCCGGTCTAGCCAAGGTCAAGCCACGTGAAGCGCTACACTCACCTTGATCAGTGGCAGCAACGAGCAGTCCTCTGCGCGATGATACTGCCAAGAGATTCACTGATGTCCTGTTTGCCTTGACATCCAATGGCATTGATAGCCGTGCCTTGACGCCCAAGCTAAGTTGACGCAAGGTGAGAAACTGCGACGTCCAGGACAGGAAAGGGGCGTGCATCAGCAAACTACACGCCGTTGTAGCGCACGCCCATTTATAGCATGTGCGATGCTCGCATTTGAGCTGTCCACTCACCTCGGCTTCATTCTCACCAGCGTCTCCGACAGAGACTGAATAGTCCGGCATCTTGCTCCACCCTCTGCCGGTGTTGCGATCCTACTCGGTCTTCGCAAGCCTTCACAGAGGCTTCCTTAACGGGTCCCCAGCTCCACTTTGGTTACCTGCGCATTGAGGAGCGAGATGACGCAGATGACGGCGGACGGATTGCGTCCGAATGACTGATGAGGAAGAGTGCACGTGATGCTGAGAAGGGAGGACACCTCAGAGAGCGACTGAGGGTGCTTGCTAGCGAGATGTCCTGGCGCAGGCGCGAGCTTAGCTTCCGCTTCAACCCGACTTCAAATTGCTGACGACACGAGGATGGAGAGGCAGATTGGAGGAGTCAAAGGGATGAGCGAACGAGATGGTCGAGAGCATGCAGTAGCAGGTCTGCGTGATGGGAAATCATGAGGGGTGGGTGGTGCATGGCTGCTCAGCACTCTCGGACGCGTTCGACCTCTCGTACGGAAAGAAGGACGTGACACCGTGCGGGGGCGCTCAGCTCCCTTGATGATGCTCGTCAAGGTGTGCAGCGAGGATGCGTGCATGCTTGCTTGCTTACATTCACATTCGCCTTCATTCACCCGCATTTGCGATGCCAGCTTGACCCTGACACTCACTACTGATTGCCGGCTGCATCTCACCGGAATTCACATTTGTGATAGTGTCCGCGGCCCGCACGTCGCGTTGCAATCATCAGCAACGCTCCTTCAAGATAAATGTTTACCAGCACCGCTCATACACACGTCACGCACATTTGATGATCTTTGCTCGGGCACCATTTCTGCAACACTACAACGGCGTGCAGCGATAGCTTGCCATGGGCGGTCAGGATGAAGCGGCGTTCGCTCCTTCCATTGCACCCGCCCTCTCCCTCAGCTCGCCAGACCGTCTGGACCAACAACCGACGGGCGCATCTTCGCTTCCAACAGGTCCCACATCAAGCTCATCAGAGCCCGCTCTGATTTCGCTCCCAGCTTTTCGCATGCTCGCACTCTCCAATCCCGTGCTGGAAGCCTTTTTCGAACGTGATCTTCCCAGCTCTTTCGCGCTCCTTCCTCCAGCAAAAGGAAGTAGCGGGAAGGATATCTGGTCTCAAGCTGGTCAACGGACATTGTCTGCTACTACATCTTCAGACGCTGTGGATGCACCGCATGCCGCTGGCAGTGAATCGTCGAATGCTTCCTTGGGCAAGAAAAAGTCGGGATTGTTTGGTGCTGGTGGGTTGGCGAGCGGATCGGCCGGATACAGCGTGGCTCCTCGATCGGGCATGCTGGGCTCCCTCTTCTCCACGCTGCTCGGAGAAACCGAAGCTGAAGCTTCTCTCAGAGTCGCTCGTCTCTCAGATACAATCGCCGGGGCTTTGGAAATTCCCAAGACAGTCAGGGGCCCACTTCCCTCCTTCGCTGCTCGGAAGGGCATGAACCGAACGCTAGATGGGAGAGAGGCAGATACAGATACTCTCAGGGAAGACGAAAAGAGGCGCAAGGCCGACTATGAGGGTGGTCTACATTCGTCTGAGAAACACGATGCGTTTGCGCGCACCAGGGTGGGTAGTGCAGAGGCTTCACAGCAGGATCACGCCGGTCCCACTCTAGCCATACCCCCACGACCGAAGACGGACAAGAGACAGTCTCTGCGCGGGACGGACATTATGGGTACAGGCGAAGGTTCGGCGATGCACGCGATCGCAGCAGCCACAGCTTCTTTGCGTCGCACCCCTTCGCACGCCGATATGGGCTTCAGCGTAGATCAGCCAGGTGTGGAAGAGGAAATGGACGATCACGAAGTGGATCATGCCGGTCAGATGTTGAGCGTCGAAGGGTCGACGACTGAAAAGACAAGCGGAATACCTCAAACTCCCGATACGGACAGGGATGGAGACCTTGCCAATAGCCTGAAGCGGCTCAGCACTGCGCATGTTGACGGGCTGAGTTTTGACGTGGCCGAGCACAGCGACACGAAGGATCAAAGGTGAATCTTTCGACGGCACATTCTGTAAGTACCCAGACGCAACGCGTCGCGACACGATGAGGAGGATGCTTGGTGCATCCCACTCCGTCATGCACATGATAGCGGAATGCTGCGCCAGATCACGTTTGTCGCAATCACGATGGACTTTTTGCACAAAGCCTAGTCTGCAACGAATGCCCTCGAGTAGCAGCTCATGGTGACCATCCAAAGCGAAGACGAAGGATACAGCCAGCTACTCTCAACGACGGTGCAAGCGCTTGAAGAGCTTCGCGATGACACGCCTCTCGCGCGGTAATACATCAGGCCATCTGTCTGTATGTAGCGAATCACAGCAGACGCCACGCATGTATTTGCGAATCATAAGACAAGTTCTCATAGCAATGGTTGGGCAGTAGTTCAGGGACATGTATCGTAATAGTACAACAAGGTCATTTGGGGGTCCTGGTCAGAAGCGCAATAGATGAAGGCCGATTGTCCAGGCAGATCAGCCCATGCTCGAAGCTGCGTGCGGATCGGACGTGTGAGTGCGAGTGGATATTCTGCGGTACAGTAGTGGTCCATCACAATCCAGAGAAAGACGTCTGGCAAAACGAGGGTCGAGCTCGTATTGAAGATTCAAGCAGAAAGACCGTAAGCGGGCAGACCTCCGAATCTCTGGTTGAACCTAGCCAATTCGCGCGAGAGCTCTTCAACCAACCTCATGCTCAGCGGTGTGTCTGAGCCGGAGCCCGGGAGCGACGAATCGTTCGAGCTTGTACTTGCTGATGGCTCAGCGTTCGCACTGGCCGTTGCAGAATGCTCTGTAGCCGTCGTGAGGCCAGCAGAGCTTCGGAGCTGCTCCTGGGACTGTTGTCCTGCTGCATGTGCTCCGGCTGCATCCGCAAGTGCATCTGACTTGTCCCGAGGTGCGCTGCCCTCCTCTTTAGAAGCATCACTCGTGATCTCTTTGCCCCTGTTTCCATCCGCGTCAGCCTCTCTTTTACCCATTTCTGCTAAGAGAGCAGCGTCTCCGGGCAGCGAAATCTTGATGCCCAGCAACTTGGTCCTCCGCGATCTCTCCACGGCCTCCACCTGACTTCTGGTCACGTACTCTCCAATGTTGCGCACCCTCTTGCGCATCTCTCCTAGCGTCATTCGCTTGGGGGGAAATCTGATTTTAGTCCGTGGCTCGTGGAGCGTTTGCGAAGTGTAGGGCATCGGCTCGATGACTGGTGCAGATGAGCTCTCTGCATCATTGCCACTCGCCTCTTTGTTGGCTGCACCGCGGCTTCCGCCAGACCTCGGCACGCCTTTGGTGGCGAGAGGTGGATGCAAGGACAACGCTTCGGAGCTGTGTGCGCTCAGCAAGTGCGCGAGGTGAAACAGATGCTCAGGCATGCCCAGATTGCCTCCTGGCTTGGTCGAGTCCAGGTGAGGTGTTGGTGTACCGGTTCGACTGATTCCGGATTGATCCCGAAGGGCGGCTCTCCTGGCACCTCCGGCAGCCTGATCGGCAGCGCGCTGCTTGTGAGGGCTCGGCGAAGGAGACTCTGCACCAGACTGTTGCGGCGTGCCTGAGCTGCTGGGCCCTGCACCGCCTGCTGCGTAGACAGCGGCGGCAGATGCAGCGGCCGTCGCTCTATCTTTGGCTCGATAGGTGTATTGATTGGGATGCTTGGGCTTGG